CTGGGAGAATATTTAGCTAAAAAAGGTCAAAGAGCCCAGTATTAACCCTTTAAAAATGGTGAAAGTAATCCTGGTGTTTGTTTTGCTTCCCTGGGTCTCACAGCATACAATGTGTGTGAATTGTAACCTTGTTGATCTGACTTGTTTTCACCATAAGGTGACTTGAAGCCAGCTCTTTTGATTTGTATAGAGATTTGAGTACAGTGCATAGACGCCCACACACTGTGTACACACCGACGCAGAGCTCTATACAGCAGGCCTTCCCACTGGACACCAAGTTTCATTCGCCTGCGTAGAGAACCCCTAGAACCTCTCTCATTTAGGCCCACTTCCAACATAGGGAGGCTGCATGCAGGCGGTGATGTCGCATTGCTGAAGTCCCACTTTGCGTCTTCTGCCTCTGGGTGATCAGAAGCAACACATGCGGTTTTCCAGAGATCCCAACTTTCTATCAATGCATAGTTTATGCACTGGAGATGATAAACAAACAAAAAAATAAGTGTTCACATCCTATGACGGGGATCCAAATGCTGCATAGTTAATTGAAACAGACTTTTCAATGATGTCCCAGGTAAACATGCATTTAACTTTAAAGCTATTCTATTTTGAATTTCTAAGGAGTTTCACCAAACTGAGTGATGTATTCTAAATTCTGAAAAGATGTAGCTTCTTAGGCATGTTTTGCAGTTTGAGAATTTTATAATATATATTAGTACATTATAATTTTGAAATTAAAATACAGATTTGCTGTTATTCAGGTTAAATTATATTTTAATTTTACCTCACATCTGGTAGAAACTGTAACTGAAATTGTATTATGTATGTGTTTAAAGGTATTTATCAGAGATTATGTTTTTTTAAGTGTGTGGAGTTTGAAAGTGTATTCAAAATCATTTTCAGGTATCTTTAGTGTTTATGCAGATCTTAATGTCAAATCTTAAAGCAGATATTTCAATATTTAACTGACTTTGGGAGCATTTCCTAAATAGGTTGTTTTATGTGTTAGTGTGTTGTTTCCTTTGTTAAAAAATCTCCATTTTCCTCCGCACAGTGAATATGGCCACAAGCAGGCTAATAGGTGCCGTGGCCGGCACCATTCTGGCCGCGGGGGTGATTTTTGGAGGCACAGGGTGGGGAATAGAGTAAGCATCCTCACGTGTCTCTATGTGTGCCGGTGTGTGGTGGGGTCATGCCCACCTCCTGTCTGTTCATCTTTGTGTTCCCTGTGTTCCCTGTGGTGCAGCTTGTGGTGTGACCTAGTGTGTTTGTATTGTGGTGTCCTTGTGCCATGCAGAGCCCTTTCCTGTCTGGACCGTGTGGGGCCTGGGGTGATGAGGGGTGCTCGTGGTCCCTCCGAAGTGAGGCAGCAGTCCTGACACACGGCGCTCCTCCACTTGGAAAAGCAATGGGGAAATACAGATGTAAACAAAAACAAAAACAAAACACAAAAATTTATTGGCAAAGCGCCTGTTTGAGAGCTTTTTCTTAAGATTCTTTACAATGATTTTCATCTTTGCCAGTCAAACAAATCCACGTAGACAGCTGGGAAGATCAGCAGGTGCAAGCATTTCTTATGGGTCATGAGGGTGGTGGCCACCAATGTTTCTTCCACTTATTTAGGATGATAAGGGAGGCTTCAGCTTAATTAAGAATATATTTAGGATACTGCCTTCATTTTTTTAATAACAGGTTCATAATTCAGAGTTGATGTTTACATAAACATTTGGAAGCAGGGAGCAAAACCCTATATGACCTCAAGTGGCCAGCTGCAGCTCACCCGGTGACCTTGTCTCAGAAATGGCCAGGATGGAATGACCTCGATATGTGCCATGTGTCCATCACCTCATTGGGGCACGGCTCTCCTGGTGCCATCCATAAGCTTTCTCTATGGGGCCTACTCAGTGGCAGAACTGTCGGTGCTCATGGGACTAAAAGATGGCAGTGATGTTGCCTCTCTAATTACACAGAGAGCATTTATGAGTGGCAGGAATAACCCTCTACATGCTGTTCTTCCTAGACAGTAGTGGTGGCAATGCTTTGGAGCAGCCCAGGAGTGAACGACTAGCATCTCATGGAGCCACCAAATACCTTTTACTCAGTCAGCACAAACCATGGGCTCATTGTGATCATCAGTCATGTTTCTCCTTAGTTGGTAGTTGGAACACAGGGGATTGGGTGCTCTTACTTCCTGGAATTGGGAGATCAGGCACCAAAGACACAGGGAGTGGGTCCACAGGTCACACACTGTGTTGAAGGGGACATGGACCTACTCTCTCCTGGATTCAAGGACTTTGGACCTTCTAACTTACATCTTTGCAGTGTGGAATGTGGAGCTAGTTAGCATAGGGGAGGTCAGAAATACTGGAAAAAGAGATTTTGTTTCTCCTGGTGTGCTAGAGAATAAAGAACAGGAGAGAGGTAAAATATTTAGAGACAAGAACTCTGTACTATAAAATTTCACTCGAGTCTGTTGACTGGATTGTATATGGGAGAAACAAGCCTTTTTGGGGGTAACTCTGTACATATATTTATGTGATATTCCTTCTGGAAGAATGGAAGTTTTTTTCTAAAAAATCATCCAAATGCATTTTTTTACATTAAGTATTGGCTGCCATGTTGGTGCACTGAAATGTGCTTATGGAAGGGGTGCATTTCCATCATCCTCCCATGCCCTAGTGGCAGGCAGTCCCTGGAAGGCCTGTGTTGTAAAACATGGTCCCCGGTCCAGCGTTCATGTCCATCCATCATTCTCAGTGTTGTTGGTTGTGGCTATTTCTGGTTGTGACAGGTAAGTTTGGATAAGTGTATTTTTTTTTTCTAAAAATAGGTTTGTTATTTATTATTTTTGGTCCATGAGCTGTTCTATCTACGAGCTTACTAATTTTTCCCTTCAAATTCTAATTTTGCCATAACTGCTCAAGAAGTAAATATAGTTTTTAAAAAGTAAAATTTATGTAACACAATTTAGATTTTTTTAAACACTTCCTAGTTTAACTAATAATGTAATGTTCATTAAGTCACTGAAGACTCTATGGACAGGGTTTTTTTTAAAAAAAATTTTTCTCCCCTACTCCTTAGTTAGTTATTGTAAGTCAGGGATCATTTCTCATTGGTTGTATATTGATTCTAATTCCAGCCTAGCTTTCTGAAGACGGCAAAGTGCATATTATATTTAAAGCATGGAGTATGTCCATGGCTATAGAAGGATTTTTAAAAAAATGATTGTTTGAAATGTGGTTCTCTGTTGAAAGGAGGGAGGAGAGACCCATGAACGGGATATGGTTTCATTGGTGCAGGGGTTAGCAAGTCTTCTGTGAAGGGCCCAGTGAGTGGTTTGACTTTCAGCCTGCAAGGTGTCTGTTGTGACCTCTCAACCATGGTCTCTTATTGTGAAAACAGCCATAAACAGTGTGTAAGTGAGTGAGCTGGGCTGTGTTCCAATAACATATATTTTTAAAAACACACAATGGGGCCAGATTTGGCTTGAGGGCTGTAGTTTGCTGGCCCTTAATTTACAGAATATGTTTTAGAGTCAAACAAGCCTGAGTTCAGATCTTGGCTACACCCTTTGTTAACTTCTAGAAGCCTCTGTTTCCCCATCTGTTAAACAGGGACAGCCACAGTTCCTACCTCATGTGGTTTTGTGGGACTCAAATGAGGTACTGTGTGTCACAGGCTCAGAACCTCACCCAGAACAAGTGCTCAGTACACAATGACTGTGGCTGCGCTCATTGCTGTCATTATGATTACTGGCATGTCTCTAATGGTAATGGAGATTCATGTCCATAGAGCCTCAGCACTTAGTCAAAGGAGCTTGTCACAGCCCAGGGTCCTGAAGAGACGCATCCCCGAGATTCCACAGCAGCAACTGCCACCTGCCCGCCATGTCCTAGGTGGACTTGCATTATGTGGATAATTGTAGTGCTGCCAGAAGTGGTGTCCTTTATGTACACACTTGAGGGCACTGATGTGAGCAGAAAAGAGAATTTCTTTCTCAGAAAAGAATGTATCCCCAAACCCAAGGATTTTTGGGAAGCCAGCAGAATTGGCCTTGTGGTTTCTGGGGCAGTGATTATAGTTGGACAGGAAGCATTTTGCTGTTGGGAGCTTGTTAGCATCCTGAATGGTGTGGTGTTTAAAATAACGATTCTACTGAATGTGTAGTTGCTTAGATATAAAATATCGAACCAAAGAGGGGCATGAGTGCGTGGCGGCAGATGCTGGAGGGTGGACCAACCCTTCGGCAACAATGCTGGAACTCTACCGGGGGTTTTCTTTCTTGCAGTCCTTGACTCCCCTTTTTTAAATCTCCAAGCCTCAAATTTATCTTGGTCATCAATGGTACCTTATTCTCAGTTGACTCTAGGAATTATTTTTTTCCTTTCTCCAAAATCACCCAAGTGAGTTTAACACTCCCTTTGGGTCCCACTCTGGTGTTTAACCCTGTAAGGACCATGACAAAATGTGTCTTTGAGAGCAGGCTTCAAAGTCAGATCCTTGCTGGGAACCTCCTCTGATGCTAAACTGCAACTGTCTCCACATGGGGAACAAAAAGCACTAGACACTTCCCGTGCTGCTGACAGCCCCTCAGGAGGGGTTTCTCCTTCTCGTCTCACCCTCGTCGGGAATCTGACTGAGTTCACGCTCATGCAGTGGGTCTTGATGTGCATTTACTTGTTTGATTCATGACACTGGAAAGGGGAAGAGGAGAAGGACGAGTCACAACAGCAGGTGGGGCCTATGGGCTTCAGTTCTGCAGTCGGTGAACTGGACAGGATTTAATCGTCATGGGTTCAGAAAGTCTAGATTTAAAGGCATGTAAGTTCGGGCAGTCACTAAGTGGAGCATCCAAAGTGCAAGACACCTAGTCAATATGGGCTGTCTACATGTTCAGCCGTCCTGACCATGGTGTTTACTTCTTGAAACCGCTGAACTGCCTTTCCCTTGTGGTAACAAAAGTGGTTGGCTCATGACTTTCTTCCCATGATCCTCTGTCGCAGGTCCTAGTGCCACCAACCTCATAATAGGCTCCATCGCTGGTGCCATCCTGGTAGCAGCTATTGTCCTTGGGGGCACAGGCTGGGGATTTAAGTAAGCAACGCCGCATGTCTTCTCTCGGGCTCTGGCTCTTCTCTCTTTTGCTTACACAACCAAGTTTTGAGTTCCTGCTACAAGAGTCTAGATTTTCTGAGGCAAACTGCAAAAAAGTAAATCTTTGCATTCAGAAGTGGATTAGGAAAGAAGACAAGTAAACCTGCAAATGTCACCTTCAGGTTAGAGGAGTGTGAGGAAAGATTTCACATGCCCTCGTTTGAGAGAAGAACAGAGAGGTCTTCAGTAGAAGACTTGCCTGCTTGAGGGGTGTGAATGCTGAGATGCACCTGTTCACATGCAGGTGATTGAGGAAGATCTGCAAGTGGAAAAAACAAATGTGAAGTCCTGTTATCTGTTTAACCCTGACAGTCCACTGGTATTTTGACATTTTCACAATCTAAGTAACCACACAGTCATTACTTGAGATTTTCACATGTAACATTATGTGTAGCTTTGTGATTTGAAATGCTTTATTATATAAAAACAGATTTTAAAAAAAGTTTGCATTAATTTCCTAACTAACTGAATAGGTTTCAAATTATAATTTGAAATTTATGGCCTTGTGACACTTAATATTTTCTAATTAACTGCTAAATATTGACATGACTGGTAGGCCTGGTGTGTTTTCATAGTAACATTTTAGTTTGTATTGCACGTTGATCACTCAAATAAGAGTGTTTAAATAGCCATACCAGATAATCACAAATAAAGCCTTAGTTATGATTAAAATTTATAAACTTGATTTATTCAGTTTGGATGTTTCTGTATCGTGGAATCATTAGGTATAATCACTTTTTTCTACCTTTTCATGCTATGGTGACTTGATTAAGATTCATAAGTAAGCTCTCCTGTGCCAGATATTTCCTGTGATAAAATTTCAACCAAATATAACAAAACAAATATGAGTAGGAAATTAAGACCATTACCCAAATTTAAAACCCACTTTGCATCCATCTCTTTACTCAGTATAGGAAGCTTTTGCCCTGAACTGTATGAATAATTAATTGCCTTAATTATGAATTTTACTTTATGTTTGTAATCTTGAATTCAGTATATTTTAACCAGCTAGCATGTTGTTATTAGAAGCTGATTATAAAAGAAAAACTAACCAAAAGATGATTTAAATAAATTCAACATTATCTGCTAATTTGTTATTATATTAATCTTTAGTGTATAGGCCTACAGTTTCTGAGTTACTTTAATTTGGAAAGGTATTATCAAATGGTACTTTTTTCCTCCCAGGATATTTTAAAGTTGACCTTGTTTAATTAAATAGTTTTGGCATCACTGTGTTTTCTAAAACACATAAAATGGGCAACTTACGTTTGCATTTCTTGTCTTGGTATTAACAAGACATTGCCAGGATGATGAGTTGCTCATGTGGCATCTAATAAAAAAATGTACTTTTGTTTGGGCTGATTCAAGCTAAAACCTTTTTTTAATATCCTGCTACTTTAAAAAAGTCATTGCTGGCCAGGCATGGTGGCTCATACCAATAATCTCAGCACTCTGGGAGGTTATGGCAGAAGACTCTCTTGAGGCCAGGAGCTCAAGAACAACCTGGGCAGCATAGTGAGACCCTGTCTCTAAATTAAAAAATTAAAAGGAAAAAACTAGCCAGACATGGTGGCATGCACATGTAGTCCCAGCTACTTGGGAAGCTGAGGTGAGAGGATGACGAGCCCAGGAGGTTGAGGCTGCAGTGAGCTATGATCGTGCCACTGCACTCCAGCCTGGGTGACAGAGTAAGACCCTGTTTCTAAAAACAAAACAAAACAAAAACAAACCCACCCAAACCAAAAAGCCATTTTATGTTAATAACACTGCCACACTCTTACTATTTTATAATGTTCCCTTGAACTTTTTCATAAATGTGTCTCAAGAAAAATATATTTGGCTCACGCCCAGGCTTGGTGTATGCCTTTGTGGCACTAAGAAATCTCAGTTTAAAGAGTTAGGAAACAGTCTACTATGCACCTGTCCCATCCAGACTTGTGTGGTGCCAGATCTGCCATCTCAGCTTTTGGGCAAGAGCATGCTGGTCTGTAGCAGGACCTCAAAACAGTGGCCTGGCCTAGCTCACAGCTTGAATTGCATGTTTCTTTGGGAAAGAATGGAAAAGTCATTATCACTGTATATAAGTGGATTAGGCCCTGTGCAGATTATTCGTATCTGAGAGAGTTGTCTCATTGCCAGAAGAACAGAAAACATCAGGTGGGCTCAATACTTAGGGAGGCCAGGAGCCGCTTTTGCCAACTGCTGCCAGGGGTCCTATGCAGAGACTCCTTCCTGTGCCTGTGACTCAAATAGTCAAGGGAGCACTTTGTAGAAAGGCACACAGTAGGGTGATGTGTCATGCCCTGGGGCAAAGAGAAATTTGAATATAAGAATGACTGTAGAACATGTAACTTGAGGAGTTGAACTTTGGATTATGTGGTGCTGCTTGTGTACAGACTGTTGGTTGCAACTTGAAGATCTGATTTGCTTTAGATTTTACTAGTGGCTGTTTGGTTTGTATTAAACTTTAAATAACTACTTCTACCTTATTATAAAAGGCTTTGGTGTTGGATAATGTTTGAGTTTTGCCATCATGTAGGCAATTTAGTAGATTACTAGTCTAGAGATAATTTGGAAGTGTAATTATTTGTTAGTTGAACTGGAAACCCTTGAATGTTTCTTTGAGTTCAGCATAGATTTTTAAAACAAGGTTGCTTTAGAGTCAGAAGTTGAAAATAGTTTGTAAAAAAAAAAATTGCTCTAAATATGACCATGAAAATTCCTCCTAAAATCAGGTTTTTATTACTAGAAGAAAAATTCGTAAAGTAACCTGAAGAATTAGAAGGCATGAGAACTTTTAGATGAAAGAAAACTATATTAGACACTCAGGGGAAATAAAGCTTTTCCCTCGTCACAGTTCTTTGAGTGTAACGATCTGAGTAGTTTGGATGTGGAAGAAAGATCACACCATCCATGACCTGCTCAAGTGTGAGACACACAGCTGCCCCTGTGGATGAAAGATCACACCATCCATGACCTGCTCGAGTGTGAGGCACTCAGCTGCCCCTGAGCACTGACATCTCTGTCATTCTTTGTGACTCTTTTCTTAAAACTATTCTTTCTTGAAATAGGTGGTCTCATGCATGAACATTGATGGGCTCATGTGAATGTGTGAAAGTACACGTGTGTGTGTAAAGTGATGATGAATGTTTATTAAAATTGGAAAATAATGCACATTTAGATTACCTGCTCCTTTTTTAGTGGAATAGTGGAACCAAAAATCTTTGATTAATGCAAACAAGAATTCCACAAGCAAGGTTGTGGAATTCCTGAAAAATTTTAAAGATGCTTTATTTGGTGGATTATTTTTTACCATCATGTTGGGCAATGTGGTGGGTGTTCCTTGGTAACTTTGGCTAGTTTCCATATTCCAGGAGCATAAGGACACCAAGGAGTGATGCAGTCTGTGGGATCCCAGGTGTTGAAGGTTTTAGGACTTTCCCTAAGAAATTCTGTGCAGAATGAGCACCGGCATATGGCATACCAGTTGTCCAGTGTCTGCCCCATCTACATTTATTTCTGTTCACCCCACATCCTTGTCCTCCACCTCACCTACACACACTGTGGTGCAGAGGATGTCAGAATGCTGTCCTGGCCGACTCTTGGAGATGTGGGACACTTGTCCCCAGTGTTGAATCAACCTTGCTTTGACTGCTGTTGGAGCTGTGGCTTTTACTGAATATTGGCAAAAATCAAGTAGATAAAGGATCATTTTAGTAGCATCTTTCCTATAGCTTAGGAAAGATAAACATATGAAAAGGGAATTTCATACATCCATTTAAAAGTGAGCTGCATATGGTGGCTCATGTCTATAATCTCAGCACTTTGGGAGAATGAGGCCAGGAGTTCGTCTATAATCCCAACACTTTGGGAGGCTCGAGGCCAGAAGTTCCAGACCAGCCTGGGCAACATAGTAAAACCCTGTCTCTGCAAAAAAAATAGAGAATTAGCTGGGCATGGTGGCATCTGTAGTCCCAGCTACTTGGGAGACTGAGGCAAGAGGATCGCTTGAATTCACGAGTTTGAGACTGCAGTGAGCTATGATTGTGCCACTGTACTCCAGCCTGGGTGGCAGAGTGAGACCCTGTCTCTAAAAAAAGAAAACAAACACACAAACAAAATGAGCACAATTGCCCTTAGCACCTTGGATGTGGCTATCTTTCTGACAGTTCCTAAATTTGGATGTAGGAGTTTTGATGTGAGCAAGGTGGTCATTTGCATGCACCTCAGTAGGTGATGATAGAGGGAAGAGAGAGTCTACATGATAGTCAGAAGGAGCGTGGCAATAAAGGTGGCATCGTTTGTTGACTGTTTAATCCAGAGAGGATTCCAGTATGATCACTGAGCTCTCCAGCCACATCAAGGGGTCTCAGTCTGTGGAACCTCATGGCTACCCTGGCATCACACTACTGCCCTCTCCATGGGATTCTGTGGCTGGGTGGGTCCCACAACCATTGTGGCCACACTGACTTGGCACAGTCACTTCTGACACATAGTTATCACAGGTGATCTCCTTTCTCTGAGAAGCCACTTGGGCTATGAGTCGTACCGAGCCTGACTCAAGCCTCAGGGGCTCTATGTGGCCAGTGCTCCATTTTGTGGGCTGTGCTGAAGAAAAAGTTGTTCATGTGTTCACATGAAGTGAAAGTGAAAGACACGTGTCTAGCCTTCCACCAGGAGAACTGACTGAGGTGTCTGAGTGTCAGACTGGATGAAGTTTAAGAAAGTTAACATTGCTAGTTGTATTTTCTCAAAGGAGGAAGTGTCTTTTTTGCCTTTTGAGTTTTACAGAATTGGGAAATGAAATCAATTTTAGCTAGTCTTTCCATGAGGAGGATAACCAGACTGTTGCTTATTTGAATTCTGTGACCAAATCCCATATAACTAAGGTGCCCGGTTCCCTGCATCCCTGCTAGGCTGGGTACCTTCCCCCTGGTACCCTAGCGATTCCAGGCTGGCCAGGAAGATGCAAAATGTGTCCCAGACCCTACCACCAGAGAAGTGACCTCAGCCTAGGGTAACCTAGGAGGAACTGGGCAAGGTCTCTTCGTGGAGTGTGACGGCGCAGAGTGGTAAGAATGCAGGAACAGTCAGTGAACTTGGACCTTGAGAGGAGGGCTGAAGGCTTCATGGCTCTGAGATGGCCATGGTTACCTGGAGAATTTTGTTTTAATTTTGTGTAGATGTATATGTGCATAATAATATTCATAGACAAAAGTCCAGACTTTTAGAAGTAGTAAAGATGAGTGAAACTGTGTCACTGTGAGTTGATGGATCATCTTGTAGTTTATAATGGCCCAGGAATACTCCACAGATTATGATGAGTTTGGTGACTGCCTGAGAGTTCTGATGGGCAGTGCATTGGGAGGGTGTGGTCCTGGAGAGTTGACACGGGGCTCCCACCATGGTGGACTTCTACACTGAAGTGAGCAGAGAGAGTTGTTTTTACATCAGCAGTTTGGTACAGGCAGTTCTCAACCTGAAGTGGCCCATGGTGGTTCCACTGATTCTGCATGCCGAGCCCTGGCCGTCCACTGGCGGGAGGGTATACCTCTGTCCCTGTGGCTGGGCCCTCTCCCTGCTGGGACTCAGTAAGAGCCAAGGTCCTGGATCCCCGCTGGTGTTCAGGGTCCATTTTCGCCTGTTAAAATAGGGTTCCACAGGTGCTCAGCCTCCTGGGGACCCAAGGACCCCTGAAGTGTTTCTACACCAAGTGCAACCCCAGCTTTGGAGGGAGCACACACTTTAGACACTGGAGGCTGCCTGTGTGCCAGGCTAAAAGGGAGACTCCCTTCCCCACTTACAGAGGGACCGCCTGCTGTTGTGACCTGGGCACGGCTGTTGCTCTGACATCCCCACGTTTGGATGCGGGAGTTTAGATGTGGCACTAGAGCCAACCCTACACAGCTCTTTCTTCTGCATTTGGGGTGACCCAGGAGACATTAACATGATGTTTCCCAGAGTCCCGGCATGCACAGCTCATGGGGTCAAACTCTGTTGTCCTCTCTGACTTGCAGAGTGCAGGACCCCTCCAACCTCCACCTCAGGGGTAGACATAGCAACAGGAGTGGATCTGTGCCCCATGGAGAATGCCTGGGGAGGCCCCTGGGTGTCTCCCTGTGTCCTGGCAGCACCGACAGGTCCTGCTGTTGGGGCTGCTAACTCGGAGGAGGACTGGGGTGCATATGGGGGCGGACGGTTCTGCCAAAGTGCTCGCCGTGCTGGGTGACTACATATGGGGACACTCAGGGAAACGGTTTAATGAAAATGTTAGAAGAACAAAGGGAAGTTTTCTGAAAGACTTTTACATTTGATGTTTCAAAAGAGAAGCATTAAGTGGTCATCTTGGGAGAAAGGATGGCAAGCTGCCTCCACGCTGTGCAGAGCGTGGCTGCAGTCTCATGTTGAATGACTTCTGGGTAGGAGGCCAACATGTGAAGGCTTGGGACTCAGGGCTGGGGGCCCCACCTGGCCCTGTGCAAGGGTGGGGATGGGGGTCTCCAGGTTGCATGATGCCCATGGCAGCGATGTGGCACCCCCAGCGTGCAGACCACATGCATGAGCCCTTGCTTGGTGCCCCACACGAAGCCAGACCCTGGGGAGGTTGCACCTGACTTCTGGGGTTGCCTTGTAGTGTCTTGCTGGTTCTTTCTTTTCTCTCTCGGCATGGGAAGCACTTTACAGGAGACTGGACTCCCAGCCAAACACTTGACCTTTCTTGTTCTACTGAGGCTGAGGACAGCCCTGGCTTCACTAACCCACATGTCCACTCTCCTGCGAATGTCTTGTCTTCCTGTGCACCCTTTTCCCACATTCCACATGCAGAAATGCTTGTCCCACCGAGCATAAGAGCTCACACGCCCAAGGCAGTAGGCAGCTGGGTGGGGTGGAGCAAGGCCAGGCCAGTCCCCCTACAGTGCCCCCCAGGCCGGGGCGGGCCGGGGCGGGGGAGGGCTGTGAGACTCCTGTTTCTTCCACTCTCCCAGTCGCCCCTTTGAGGAAGAGCCTCCTGCTAATAATTTTCACCTAATGGGTCAGCAGTGTCATTCACCTCTGAAATAAGACAAATGGGGCTGCAGAATCTTCCTGTGGTTGAAAATGCACAACCCAAAGCTGCCTTTGGTGTTCACCAAAGGACGTGCTCTTGGGAGACATTGTGGAGGCTCGGGGCGTGAGTGGCCCTGACTCAGCTTCAGGTTAGTTTGGAGGCTGCCTCCGTGTGGGCTGCTTACTTGGCTCTAGGACTAGCACGCCTGTCGTGATCATCTCCTTCCTCTCCTTGTCATCTGACTAACATTGTGGATTTTTCCCCTGCCCGCACTTTCTTTTGATGCCCTCTGGAAGAAATGTCAAGAAGAGGCGGTTCGACCCTACTCAGCAAGGGCCCATCTGACCCTGCCTCCCCAGATGGATGCCTCCTCGCGCTGCTGGGCTCTGGGGATGACACGCTCGCAGCTGTGCTGCCGGAACTTCTCAGTCTGTAAACAGAAACTTGGGGTGGCGATGATGACATTACTGAAGTTGGGGTGATAGGGATGGGGTAAAAGAAAACTATCCCTTTTGGAAATAATCTCAAAGAGCCCCTCCCACCCCTCATCAATAAAGGGGGGCAAAAGACTTTGTTATGAAAAGACCTGTTTCAGAATCTTTTTTTTCTAACTAAAGGAAGAAGGAACAAAAAAAATCAAGTGCAATAAAAGAACCATTAAAAATAGCAAATGATTATTCCCCCAGCCTGCTGGCACTTAATATCTTCTAAATGATCTGGCATGATTTCGTTCCTTTACTACCAATGGCAAACTCCAGCGGCATGAAGACCTAGTTTCTGAAAGGGCACAAACTGCATGGCACACACACAGCTACAACCTTGCAGCCAGCTCTCCACAGAGCCTGCCACAGACCCCGAGGGTGACAGTGATGGCTGCAGCTGTCCCGGCCCCTTCACCAGACACCGCCCGCCCCCACCCATGGCATCCCCCCCATGCCCTCTACAGCCACCACCCTGCTTGAGGTCAGGCCATGGCAGCATTCCACGGACCGTGCTCTCGGCCACTCGCTTGCCCGTGGGTTTTACCCTGGATGGAGCAGCCTTTGGAAGCAAGAGCTGGAATGTGAACCACGATGCTATTGTATAGTTCTTTTATAAATGTAAATATGGAAATAAGATTTTGACACGTCATTTTCACTTGTCTGTATTGAAATATTTTTCTTGTAAAGGTTCTCTGTAAATCTGAGTGTATCATTTGCTCCCCATCTGTTTTGATTATTTTCTCTCTTCCTTCATCTTTGTCCTTCTTTCTTATAGCATGTTAGAGCTTGCTAGAGAGACACACTCAGCCACCGGTGCAGGGAGGTTGGACACAAAACAGGTGCAGTTTAGAGTTGGTCTGCTTGAAACCAAAAATAAACAAAAGAGAGAGGACACAAACAACAAAATAATCCATATCAAAAACACAGAAATTATGTAAATGTGAATATGTGTGCTGACAAGTCTCTAATTTTTTTTGCTGTCATTATAAACATATGTATATAATGTAAGAAAGTAGTCACCCTTTCAAGTTAATCACAAAAGTGCCAAGCTCATAAGTTTAGTTCTTGGTTTTAACAATTTTCTTTCCCTGTATTTAATGTGAAAGGAGGATCAACTTAAAGCCTTAAATAAAAACAAAAATAATAACTTTTAAATGTTGAAAGCCTGGGAAAAAAAGTTAAGCTTTCCATTTTATTTGTATCTGTTGTGTCAATATTTCACTCACACTCATCTTTCCGTAGCAGAGTATGCATGGTAGTCCCCACCATGCAAATGGTGGAGAGTGAGGCCGCAGATCTATTCTCATGGCATTGCCACATGGGCTTTCCCGAAGTTTTCAAGGCTTGTCTGATCCACAGCATTCTGCTGATCTCCAAGTGTTGCGCTGTGCAATAATAAGATTCCACTGAATATGCACTCACAGTCATCTTCCTCCTCCAGGCAGATTTGATGTGACCTGGGGCTCCCAAGGTCCTCTGAGTTTCCTTCACTCTTACCAATTTCTTCTTCTATTTATGGTCATGGTAGCTGCTGCTCAAGTGTGAAGTAGATAAGTTAGTAAGGAAATGTGTCCCCACCATTTGAATGCACACACTTGTGCATGGTCACTCGTGGCATCCAGCAGAGACGGCCTTGCTGAAGGTTTCCATGGAGCCCCTTCTCACGTCCTTTTCAGCATGATTCCTCACATTAGTCTTACAGCTTTTTCTTTGACTTTGGAAAGTACTATGTCCTAAGAATGCACTGCTTAAAACAGTGGCATCTGTAACTGTGGACTGTGGCATGTAGAGCAGAAGCTTTCATGTCTGTGTGCTTCAGTAGACCCTTACCCTACACCCTACTCTTGCCATTGCTTTCTGAGCACTAGGTGCTACACTGGGGGGAGGGAGGGGATGGCGATGTCCTCTGGGACCAGATGTGTGTCTATGTGTTGTCACCACAGGGAACTCGAAGGCCTCTCTTCCTTGCTCCTGGTTCGTGAGAGAATGGTAGCCCTCTGCTTCGTGGCAATGGCTCGTTCAGCTCAGAGGAGCTTGGAGGAAGCACGGACGACTTAGCTCCCTTCCTGGTCTGCATGGCTTGGTGTCTCCTGGCGGTGTCTCCTAGCAGGGTCTCCTCGCTAGGAGATCCTGAGCTGCTGCTAGTCCCTCCAGCCGCATGTCATGACTTTCCGGGGCACTGTGGTGACTTAACAGAAACACAGCCATGGTGGTTACAAAATAAGTCAAATCTCTATTGCTGTCTTTCAAGTATCTCGCAAACAACATTGTAAATGTGCGATGTTATGTTTTAAATCAGACCACAGTGGTCCCCAAATATTATGTACATAAGGCACATGTCCGTGTAACTTTTTGTTACACCAGGAGTTCATAGGTATCCACACCTATGCTCCAATGTTAAATTATTTGTGTGTATATGTAAAATACACAAGCGTTAAGCTATGTGTGTATGAACATGAAAGACAACACAACCACATCAGTTGTAAACAGTGGACTATAATTATTTCGGGTGGTATTAGACCATGTAGTTTCAAACTCTTGGCTGAGTTTTCTTTTGCACATGCCATTCATTTGCTAATTTCTGTGCGGTAGATACTCCTTTTCATTCCTTTGAGCTCTAAGCACAAGTCTATCACTGTTTAATACCACCGAGCAAGAGTTCATGTAGCAGTCAGGGTCCCATCTCACTGGCTGTGCTTCTGCTGTGTTAACTAATGACTCCTGGATGAGGAGACATGCGCTCTTTGAGACTCACTGGGGACAGTGCATGAACCCATGGGATCAGAGTCACTCCCACTAGATAGCCAGGCAGTACACGCAAGCCAGGCAGTACACGCAAGCACATGTTCCAAACATGAATCACACAGAGCTGCAGAGTTTTACCAAGTGATGCATTTTGGTTGTTTTTTACTATGCAAAGATGGGAAATGCACAGACGTCTCAAAGACTAGTGATTGAAAAAATTTACAAACAATACTTGAACCCTCTCTGTAGAGTCATCCTATCATGTTTTATAGTCATTTGTTGCTGCCATTGTTAATTTCTGTTTTTAAATGCTTTGTAATTTTTTTTAAGTGCACTACCTGAAGTTTTGTTTGAAGTTAATAAATTCATTCATATGTTGTTGGCTGCCTGTGAATGGAGATTCAGTAGTCACTGTATGCATCTTCTAGCTAAGTGTGTATTAAAACTTTCGTTAACATAGAATGTTGTGGCTGTATGCCTTGGTCATTTCTCTCAAGCTCCTTTTCTGTGTCCTCTTGTCTTGTTGATTAAATGGCCGTGTGTCTGAGTTTTGGCAGCAGTCTCAACCAAAGGCTCACTGAAAATTTAAGCAGTTGATGGTGCAAAATAAAATCTCTGGTTAATAAGTATGCCCTGGGCTAGGATTCAGTCTTATTGAGTCCACTGGAAATTCTTTGCTTCTTGTAAATCAGAAAAAAAGAAACCTATCTTAGGATCATACTCTTACCAAACTTTTAAAAAATATTTATCTTTTGAGTTTAGAGTTTAGACTCATAATAACATCCACACCTTTGCCCTGGTACTGGATTTATAGTCAAGCAACAAAGTAGAAGAAAATCTGGTATACAAATTGTATTATCAAAAACATGTGAAGGAAGATATTTCCTCCCAGTCTTCATGGACTGAGTCCCAAGGTCACATCCCTTCACGAATGTCTTCAGCATGTTGTCTCTTCTCCCTGCAGCCTTGACTTGGCCTTCATGGCCATGTCTAGCTCACATAAAGTAGAAGAAAATCTGGTATACAAATTGTATTATCAAAAACATGTGAAGGAAGATATTTCCTCCCAGTCTTCATGGACTGAGTCCCAAGGTCACATCCCTTCACGAATGTCTTCAGCATGTTGTCTCTTCTCCCTGCAGCCTTGACTTGGCCTTCATGGCCATGTCTAGCTCACATAATCTTCCACACAGACACACACATGCTGCTCTGACCATATCACTCCTCTGTGGAAAGTCTTGGACTTCTTTCCTATAGGACAAAGTTCAAACCCAGTCAAAGGACTTCGAGTCCTGCCCACCTGACTTGAGCTCACAACTATTTCCTTCTCCAATCTCGCTGACTCTTACCCTCTTGTACTTAACTTACTTTAAGTTCCCCTGGAGGAGGCTTTCCTGCTTAAGGCCGAATACTCTTTTTTATTTTTTATTTTTTTTGAGTCAAGGTCTCACTCTGTCACTTAAGCTGGAGTGCGGTGGCATGATCACAACCATCAGAGTTCATGGCAGCCTTAACCTTCTAGACTCAGGCAATCCACCTCAGCCTCCCAAGTAGTTGGGACTATAGCCATGTGCCACCATGTCTGGCTAATTTTTTGGTTTTTTGGTTTTCTTAGAGACAAGGTTTTGCTGTGTTGCCCAGGCTGGTCTTGAACTCCCTGGCTCAAGCAATCCTCCCACCTGGCCTCCCAAAGTGCTGGGATTACAGGTGTGAGCTACTGTGCCTGGCCTAAATACTTATATTTAACCGTTATGTCCATGACCCATAATTCATTGTTTCAATGTCATTTTATGTGATAAAAGAAGTATAGAAACAAAGATAGCATGAACATTATACTTAAAATAAGAAATCTTATTAGTGTAATTTATATTTGACTTTAAAGGAATGATCTGATTTTGTGTATGTTTTCCTTTGAAGTCCTTCTGTTCTTGAGGTTGTCATTGAAATGAGTTCTGCTCCATGCTCCCTCGTTTACTGATGAAAGGTGACCCAGAAACCAGACACTCCCCAGATAATAGAACACCAACCCTGGAGTTAAAATTTGATGTGGCTAATTAAGTAGTCTACTTGCTCATGGTGGGATTCCTAAGTAGCTTCTGAAATGGAAAATGGGAGCCCTACAGGTTAATGCACAAGGGGGCTTCCACTCCTACACTTATTTATTCAACGAATATTCATTAAACCTCTACGCTGAGCAGCAACTCCTAGGAACTGGAGAAACAAAAGCAAACTCTTGGCCTCAAGTTGCTCACAATTTAGCAGAAAGAGATATATATTTAAAACAAAAATCTGAATCCAACATGAAAAGTAAACTAAGCTAGTCTTGTGCTGGGAGTAAAGAGTACTGATAGGCAGGTGGGAGAGGTATTCCGGGTGGCTTTCCAGAGAAAATGAGTTTGGAACTGTCTTGAAGGATGACACGAGCTCCCAGTCTAACAAAGCGGGAGACACACTCAAGGTACAGGAAGCAACATGTGTTGAGGTCCAGGAGGAGCCTGGAGCCCGGGGGGTAAGTAGAACCCAGTGTCCCATCCACCCAGCCCATATTTACTTCCTCCCTCCTTCCTTCTTTCCTTCCCACTCTTCACAAGCACTTGATCTCTAAGACCCTTGTAGTAGTATACCAGTGCCCACGGACACAGATGAACTCTCAATCTTGTGAGCTAGGTGCAGTGTTTAGATACAATGTGGTGTGGGCCATACCAGATATGAGCATTAGGGGCTTCAGAGAAGAGAAGGGAAGCCTTCATTTCTGGTCTTAGGGTACAGGAGAGTTCCATGGAGGAGGTGGATTTTAGCCAAGGGCTGTGCCTGTGCGATTGGACTCAATACCACGATCCCTTGTTGCATTTAACCTGCATGAGCTCATTTGGGTGGAGGGAGTCCATTCACGAAGACCTTGGAAGCAGAACAGACTCCCATGCTCACATCTGACTCTCTACACCAAATTTCTGGGTGTCTTACGAGAAAATTATAGT